AATGTTTTAGGTGTGTTTGGGTTGCAACCAAATCCATATTGGAGAAAGTCCTAGTAGTTTCTAACAGTTTGAAGAAGTGTAAGATGAACAGAAAGGTGAAGGTACTTCATTCTGATTTTGTTGGGAGGGACAAGATGAACCTTTTTCTGTATTGGAGCCGAGCTCACGTCATTTCAAGACACTTCGTTGGAAAGAAAATCTTAGGGTAACTAGATAGGGTGATAAATTTAGAGAACCGTGCCTTGATGGAGGAGGACCGATGTTTATTGTCAAGCAATGGTCTGCAGAAGAGTTTCTGGACTGAGGCTTCGACATATTTGGGTTATCCTATTAAAGAGTTGTCAACTACTATGATAGGCGGTAAAACTCAATTGGGTGTTTGGTCTCGTAGTCACTTCGGTTGAGGCTTCAATGAGGGAGCTAATTGACTCAGCAGGTGGAGAGTTTTGGACAGACCTTAGATGTATCGCAACGGGTAGAGAGTGGATATTCGCTTCAGATTCTTGTTTCCTTGGTGAGACATGAATTCTTATTGATCTTTCTCTCTTATTGTGTATCAGAAACTCTGTCGAAATTTCCGCTGCGCACAATAGTTTCTGTACGCCAGAAATTTATGTATGGATTTGTGTTGGTATTTTCACCAATTACGACGACAGATTGCTACTTGTTGAAATTCCTCCTGTGTAATTATCTCTTTATGTCGTGATGATTGCTATTAATAACTGAGGCATCATTAAAAGCTGTCATGGCTTCGTCTTCTGTTGACTAGTATCACATGTGTTAGCGCTTGCTTTTCTCATTGTATCATACTTTAAAATTTATTTTTATTTCTGCTCATGTTCTTTAGTTTGTTTAAAATCACAGATAGCAGATGTCTGGTCTTGTGGAGTTACTCTATATATGATGTTAGTGGGCGCATATCCATTTGGAGGATCCTGAAGAGCCCAAGAATTTTCGGAAAACAATTCAGGTTACTTTTTACCATTTCATGAGATGAGCCACCATTATATTCATTATACTAATAACCTTTTTTTGTGCAGCGTATATTGAATGTTCAATATTTAATTCCAGATTATGTTCACATATCTGAGGAGTGCCGACACCTAATCTCTAGAATTTTTGTTGCTAATCCTGCTACGGTATGTACTTTGTGTTATAGACAATCCTTGTTGTGGAGTTACCTCTGTTTTGGAGAATAAATGTGAAAAAAAAATCCTATAGAGGGCCTTCTATAGTATATGGAATTAGGAGTAAGGAGAGGATGCCACTTGATATATCAACAGTCATTTGTCTATCAGCGCAGACAATAGTGACTGAACTGATGGACATTCTTGATACATTCATCAAGATTCATGGCATGGTAGACGTCCCTCTCTCCTTCCTCCATAGACAATAATCTATAGAGTGGGCCTATATAGAATAGTTGCCATTGATTTGGTTGCTTTACCCAGTTACATCCCTAATATTTTGATTATCACGGGTTAATCTGTTAGGGTCGTCCAATTGTCTGGAGATTCTGATTCTACCTATTTCACTTTCACTTAATACAGTACCGATTCTATCTGAACACCCCCATACAATGGGGTAATCTGTACCATTCACGGGTGGTTAGAGGTTGGAGGGTTAGTTTGAGAACTTTTGCTATTCTGTTTGCAGTGCAAGCCACTTCACTCCTACAGTGATGGTTCTAATAGGATTCTTATTCCCTTTAATATTGCTTCACATTTTTTTTACTCTTTTCAGAGGATATCAATGTCGGAGATACGCACCCACTCCTGGTTCTTGAAGAATCTTCCCGCAAACCTAATGGATGACAACATGATGAGCAACCAGTATGAGGAGCCCGATCAGCCTATGCAGAGTGTCGACGAGATAATGCAGATAATTGCAGAAGCTACTATCCCTGCAGCTGGAACTCGTGGCATCGGCCAATTTATCACCGATAGCCTCGATATGGACGATGACATGGAGGACCTCGACTCTGATCCTGATCTTGATGTTGATAGTAGTGGCGAGATAGTCTATGCTATGTGATCGTTGTTGTTTTAGGATAGGGGAGTATCAAGAGGGTTTGATATATGTATGAACTTTGTGAGCAAAATGTGGAAAGGAGAAAGGTGTTCACTGCTAATTGTGCGTGCTTGTATTTTATAAGAACATATGAAGCTTGTTACTGCTGCAGCCTGCCCTATATATGCAATGTTTTTACCTCCTTTGTCGTATATGCAGCTGTTATGGCCACGTGTTTTTACTCTATGTTCCTTGCTGCGTTGTTGATTGTATTGTTCTTATTTAAAATGCTTAAAGATGAGGGTGGCTTGGATCGTTGCATGAACGGTGGAGCTCCAAGTGCATTAAGAAAAGAGCATCCGGGTCAATAGCTTCAAGTGGCCTCTCTACTATATTAGAGTGTAAGTACATAAGACAAAATAATCAGCTCATCCTTTCGGGTGTAGGCGAACTCTCAAACTTGGATGACATGCGATTAGTTGTTAAAATTTGGAATGAATTGTAGCTGTCTTGTCCTGCTATCAAAAGTTGAGGTCTACGACGGGGGTGAGCAAACGGTCGGGTTGGTCGTTTTTTCCCGGAATTTTACCACAACCAAAACCGAACCACTCCATATTTGAAACCGAACGGGACCGAACCGATAGGAAATTTCATTGGTCAATTTGGTTCGGTCTATTGTGTTGGGACTTGAACTAATTTATTAAGAAAATAGCCTATTTAATGCGAAAGAAAGATGCTTGTCAAGAAATCAGTGAAAGAAATATGTTGGTTAAGGCCTAAGGGATCGGCAAAAGAACAAGACAAATTAGTTGAAAGAATAATCTAACTTGAGAGAGAGAGAGAGAGAGAGAGAGAGAGAGAAATTTGACCATTGAAGAGAAAGAATGAGCTTATTTTAGACAAATTGAGAGAACGGGCTGTTCCAGTTTTGTTTGTATTGAAGTTTTCAAACGGATCAAAACATATCCTAAAACCGAACCAAACCGGAAAAAACCAACTTAAACCCCTGCTGTCTAGTGCCAATCATATGATTGATGCATATTATTATTGTAGTTATTCGAGTAACATGGACCTTTGGATATCAACCAATGGCTGAGATTTCAGCTAGGGATCGCTTATTTTATGAAAATTGCCCCCCCCCCCCCCACCCCCCACCCAATCATATGATTGATGCATATTATTATTGTAGTTATTCGAGTAACATGGACCTTTGGATATCAACCAATGGCTGAGATTTCAGCTAGGGATCGCTTATTTTATGAAAATTGCCCCCCCCCCCCCCACCCCCCACC